TGTAATTTTCTTTTCTTGTAATTTCCTTGTGTGGCTTTGGTACCAGGTAATGCTGGCCTCCTAAAATGAGTTTGGAAATGTTCTTTTGTCTTCAATTTTTGGAAGAGTTTGAGAGAAATTGATGTTACTCCTTCTTAAAATGTTGATACAGTTCATCAGTGAATATATCTGTTCATGACCTTTTCTTCGTTGGGAGGTTTTTGATTACTGATTTAGTTTCCTTGTTATTGGTCCATTCAGATTTTCTGTTTCTTTATGATTCAGTGTTGGTAGGTTGTACGTTTCTACAAATTTGTTTCTTCTTGGTTATGTAATTTGTTGGCATATAACAATTCATAGTAGTCTTATGATCTTTTTTTGTTTCTGTGCTGGTGGTTATAATTCCTCCTTTTATTTCTGAGTTAATTTATTTGATTTTTCTCACTATTCTAAGTTAGTCTAGCTAAACATTGTCTATTTTGCTTATCTTTCCAAAAATTAGCTCTTAGTATTGTTGATCTTTTTATTGCTTTTATAGTTTCTTTTTTAATTTATTTCTGTGATCTTTGTTTTGTTCTTTGTCCTGCTAACTTTGTTCTTGGTTTGTTCTTTGTCTGGTTCCTTGAAGTGTTGAGTTGGTGATTTGAGATCTTTCTTTTCTTTTAACACCACCATTTATCGCTCTAAAGTTTCTTCTTAGAACTGCTTTTGCACGTTCTATATGTTTTGTGTTCATTTTCGTTTGTCTCAAGATATTTTTTGATTTTCCTTTTGACTTTTCCTCTGACTGATTGATTTGTCAAGTGTGTTGTTTAATGTACACATATTTGTGAATTTTTCAGCTTTCATGCTGTTACTGATTTCTAGTTCTATGCATTATGTTAGGAAATGGTACTTAATATGATTTCAGTCTTCTGAAATTTGTTAAGACTTGTTTGATATAACATATGATCTGTCCTAGAGAACAGATTCTGTGTGACCTTGAGAAGAATGTGTCTTCCGCTGTAGTAGGATGGAATGTTCTGTATATGTCAGATCCATTTGGACTAAAGTGTTGTTCAGTTCAAATATATCCTTATTAATCTTGTCTGGATATCCACCCATCCTTGAAAGGGAGATATCAAAGTTCCCTCTGAGTAGTCCATTGCTGTCTTTTCTGCCTTCTGATCTGTTTGTATTTGCCTAATACTTAATTTAGATGCTCTGATATGTGATGCATATATACATACAATTGTTACATCCTCTTGATGAATTGACTCCTTTATCTTTATGTTATGACCTTGTCTCTCGTGATAGCTTTTGACTTAAAGTCTATTTTATCTCATATAAGTATAGTTACCTCTGCTCTTTGGTTTTGATTTGCGTGGAATATCTTTTTCAAACCCTTCACTTTCAGCTGTGTGTGTACTGAAAGTTGACGTTACTGTATTGTAGGCATTGTATAGTCGGATCTTTTTTTGTTTTTCCGTTAGCCACTGTGTTTTTTTTTTTTTAAATTGGAAAAATTTCTTAGGACCTACTATTGCCATTTTGTTAAATATTGTCTGGCTGTTTTGTAGTTCCTTGGTTCCTTTCTTCCTCTCTTGCTGTCTTCCTTTGTGATTGCCTGTGGTGGTTTGCTTTCTTTCCTTGCTCTTTCTCTTTTTTCTATCTACCATAGGTTTTTGCTTTGTGGTTACTGTAAGGCTTATATAAAACATTTTAGAGCATTCTATTTTAAGCTGATAACAGCTTCAATCACATACAAAAACTCGACTATTTACTCTGCCCCCACATACGTTTTATGTTTTTGATGTCACAGTTTACTTCTTTTTATATTGTATAACCATCAGCAAATTATTGTGGCCATAGCTATTTTTCATACTCTTTATCTTTTATTCTTTATTCTAGAGTTGAGTGTTTAACACACTATTAGAGTGTTATGAATATGACTGTATACTTACCATTACCAGTGTGTTTTGTATTTTCGAGTTAATAATTAGTGTGCTTTCATTTCAGCTTGAAGAACTCTCTAGCATTTCTTATAGGGTAGGTCAAGTGGTGATGAACTCCCTCAGCTTCACTTTGTCTGGGAATGTCTTTTTCTCTCCTTCGTTTCTGAAGGGCAGCTTTGCTGGTAAAGTATTCTTGGTTTGCAGTTTTTTTCTTTCAGTTTGTAGAACATCATCCTTCTCTTTCCTGGTATGCAGTATTTCAACTAAGAAAACAGCTCGTATCCTTATGAGGGTTCCCTTATATAAGATGCGTTTCTTTTCTCTTAACACTTTTCATAAGTGAGTTTTGTTATGTGTCTTGGTGAAGTTCTCTTTGGATTGACTTTTTGGGGGGACTTATGAGCATCATATACCTGGATGTCCACTTCTCACCCCAGACTTGAGAAGTGTTCATCTATGATTTCTTTCAATAAGCTTTCTGCCCCATCTTCTCTTTCTTCTTCTCAGGCTCCCATAATGCAAACATTGTTTTGTTTCATCATGTCCCATAATTCATGTAGCTTTCTTCACTCTTTAGTTCTTTGGTCTTTATTCTTTCACTGGATGATTTCAGACGACCTACCTTCAGTTACAGATTCATTCTTTTGACTGATCAGGTTGGTTATTGATGCTCTCTCTTGCATTTTTTCATTCATTATAGTTTTCTGCACTGTTGTTTCTGTTTGGTTCTTTTTTATATTTTCTATCTCTGTTGAAAATCTCATTTTGTTTGCATATCGTTTTCCTTTTTTGTCGAATTGTTTTCTTGTAACTCGCTGAGCTTCCTTAAAGCAATTATTTTGAATTCTTTGTCTGATAGTTCATAGATCTGTATTTCTTTGGAATGACTGATAGCTTATTGTGTTCCTTTGGGGGTGTCATGTTTTCTTGATTTTTGTACTTCTGATAGCCTTGTGTTGATGTCTATACATTTCATGGAGTAGTCACTTCTTCCAAACTTTACAGAAAGGTTTTGGTGGGGAAGCTCTTCATCTGCGTGTGGGTGTGAGTGTGCCATCTTGGTGGGCTGTGGTGATTCCTACTGCAAGAAGGCCCGGTGGCCTAGTGTCTGTGCAGCTCTGTCACCTGAGGTCAGCATCAGCAAAGATTGCAGGGGTCCTCAACAGCTAAGGCTGTGGGTGTCGTTAGCAGTGGAGAGTGCTGATGGCGACCTCCTGATCTCTTTCTCCCCACAGGAAATATTTTGACTGAGAGGTTCCCTCTGGCTGCCAACTCTGGCTCTTGGGTGCCTTCATGGTGGTGGTGGTGGCACTGGTGTCTGATGTGCAGGCACCTGTGGTGCGGGTAGGGATCTGGGTTCTAGGGTGCAAACAGACATGGAGGAGTAGTAGTTATGAGGTCCCAGATGCTGAATAGCCTGCAGTGGCATTGTGTAAGATGCAGTCACACCCTGAGTGGTGATGGAGCCTGTGACCTGAGCATAGTTGAACACAGAGAGACAGAGTCTCTGGGGTCTGAGGAGCTGGCCAGCCCACAGCAGCTGTGGCTCTGGTGTCTGAGGTACAGGTGCTTGGGTGACAGCCATGCAATCAGTTTATGGATTATGGGCAACCCTGGGGCAGTTGTGGCTCTGGTGTCTGGGATGTGTGCAATGTTGAGAGGGGTGGCAGTCCTGGTCCCAGAACAGAGGAATAGCTCCTTTTGTGGGGGGGTCAGTCAGCATATTATCCTGTGGCAGGTGTCCCATGGCGATAGCTATTGGTTACCTTAGTGTGAAGGCTGCCAGTGTTTCTGCAGGTCAGGCAGCTGGGGTCCACACCTGTAAACACTTGGCCTCCTCTGCTGTGCACACTGTGGGTTCAGCAGCTGTAGCAGGGGCTGTGGAGGTTGTCTGCAGCAAAGGCTGCTGGGGTCCTCTGCAGAACAGGCTGTTGGTGACCGTGATGGCATTTGCCTTATGGCTGATACACACAGCCCCTGTCCTTCTTCTTAGTTCCTGATCGTCTTCAGATGTCTTCACTAAGTTGATGTTCCCTGCAAGCCTTGCTGAGTGGTTATTCTCCTTTTTATGTTCCACTGTGTTGCTTTGGTATCTTAATTGGGCTCTTGAGTACTCCAGGGGCCAATTTTGTTCATAGATAGCTGTCTAATTGTTTCTTGTTGGTGGCAGAGGCTGGTTTCCTCTACCATCCTGCTGAGATCACTCACTTAGATCTCTTTTCTGTGGTCTGTTGTGGGCTAGGTTGTTCTGGGACAGTGCAGGCCATTCACCTCCTGTCATTCCCTTAGGACTTGTATCCACCATGTCCTGTAGTTGTGCTACTAAGGCTTAGGAAGAATCTTGTGTGTCACAGGACAGACATGACCACAGCCATGGCAAGCTGGGCTTAGGCGGCCTGGCTCTGGTGAGTAGCAGCTGGGGGTGGTGTGCCTCAGGCCCATGATCACATCGTAGCAGGAGCCTGTCCTGTTCAACCAGATTTGGTGCCATTACCAGTCGCCAGAACCTGTTTGTACCTTCACTTCTCCATATCGACAGTTTGGCAGGTTGTCAGTCCTGCTATCGGTCATTTCCTCTGTGACTTCCAGTCTAGGGATTATCTTCACCTCTCTCGACTCCCCACCTGACCCCTTTCTCTCAGCACTCCTTCTGCAGTGCTCTCCAGCATTGGCACTCACATGTTGGGCTGTGAGGTGTGACCATATCCTTAAATTGACCTTGAGCAGCAGCTAATTTCTTGTGATTGGATTTTCATGGGCTTGGACTCAACTTCAACTGAAACTCACATCAGCAACAGAAAAGGTCCTGCAGGAAGCTGTGGGCAGAGAACAAGTTGTAGACCCTGCTTCTCTTACTTATGTCACACCGTGTCTTTGTGTCCTTCCCCTGGTGAGGTCTCCAGCAGTCTGTGATCTTATGGGCCCAGCAATGCAGAGCAACCAGCTGCTCCTTCACCTGGATTCCACTCCATTGTCTTGCAAAGCATCCCATAGATTCATTGTGAGATGAGACAGATGCACACTTGTGATGGGGTTGCCCCATCCCTGTAGTCAACTTGTACTTCACCAGGGTTTCTTTGTGTTCAGGTTGCTGCTGTGGAGCAGAGGATGCGGAGGCTCCCTTTGAACCGAGTGTTTCTGTAGAAGTTTCATCTGCCAGGACTCCCAAGGCAGCTCCATCTTCCCAGAAGACCCACCCCTGTGAGACGTGTGGTCCGGTCTTGAGAGACATTTTCCACTTGGCTGAGCAGCAGGGAACACAACGCAGCCTGAAACTGTTGAGGTGTGGGGCTTGTGCAAAACAGTTTGATTTCAGTGCAAAGTTTCAACAGCACCAGGAGCAGCACACGGGAGAGAAACCCTTCAGAAGCAGTGTGGACAGGGCCTCGTTTGTGAAGAGCTGCAGATTCCATGTGTCAGGGAAGACTTTTTCTTTGGGGGAGGTTGGCAAGGACTTCCTGGCCAGCTTGGGACATCAGCAACAACAGACCACTCATACCAAGGAGAAGCCAAACAAAATCACCCAGTGCTGGGCCACTTCACCAAGCATAAAAAGTCATTACACCTGGGGAGAATGCAAGAAAGGCTTTGATCCTGAAGGCACACTTGTTCAGGACCAGGGTGTCCACACTGGAAGACAGTGTTTTGTATGCCAGGAATGTGGGAGAACATTCAGGTACAAATCCTCATTTGTTGTGCACCAGAGAGTCCACACTGGAGGAAAGCTTCATGTGTGTGGAGAATGTGGCAGATCTTTCAGGCGAAGCTCACCCCTTGTTCAACATCGAAGAATTCATACTGGGACAAGGCCGTGCAAATGCAGCAAATGTGGGAAATCCTTAAGCCAACAATCTGTCCTCATTCATCCCCAGAGGGAACACAGTGGAGAAAACAGCAATGTGTGCAGTGATTGTGCGAAATCTTCTAGCCATAGGACAGTGTTCATTCAAACCAGGAGAGTTCAGGTTGGAGCGAGGCCTTATAAATGTAGTGTCTGTGCAAAATCTTTTACCTCTTCCTCTGCCCTCAGTTGTCATCAGAGATGTCACGCAGGAAATAGGCCTTATGAGTGTGGTGATTGTGGGAAAGCTTTTATCTCTAGGTCTGTCCTTCGTTATCATCATCGAGTTCACACTGGAGAAAGGCCTTTTGAGTGCAGTGAGTGTGGGAAATCTTTTAAACATAGATGGACATTCATTGAACACCAGAGAATTCACACAGGAGAAAAGCCTTATGTGTGCAGTAAATGTGGGAGATGTTTTACCTTTAGCTCCACCCTCCAGTATCATCAGAGAGTTCACACAGGAGAAAGGCCTTATGTGTGCCGTGAATGTGGGAAATCTTTTATCACCAGCTCTGCCCTCAATATTCATCAGAGAGTTCACACAGGAGAAAGACCCTACATGTGCGGTGAATGTGGGAAGTCTTTTACCTTTAGTTCAGGCCTCTTTTATCATCGCAGAGTGCACATTGGAGAAAGATGTTATGAGTGCAATGAATGTGGGAAATCCTTTATCCAAAGAATTAACCTCATTTTACACCAGAGACTTCACACAGGAAAAGTGCGTTACAAATGTAGTGATTGTGCAAAGTCTTTTAACAGTAAGTGGATGCTCATTCAACACCAGAGAGTTCACACAGGAGAAAAGTCTTATGAGTGCAGTGAATGTGGGAAATGTTTTACCTGTAGTTCTACCCTCTATTATCATCAGACAGCTCACGCAGGAAAAACGCCTTACAAATGCAGTGAATGTGGGAAATCTTTTACATCTACTTCCGGCCTCCATTGTCATCAGAGACTTCACACAGGAGAAAGGCCTTTTGTGTGCACGGAATGTGGGAAATCTTTTACCTTTAGCTCGGGCCTCCGTTATCATCACAGAGTTCACACTAGAGAAGGACCTTATAAGTGCAGTGAATGTGGGAAAACCTTTATGGATAGATCACAATTGAGTAAACACCACAGAGCTCACACTGGAGAAAGGCCTTATGAGTGTCATGAATGTGGGAAATCCTTTAGCCAAAAATCTTACCTCTCGATACACCAGAAAATTCATAATAGAGAAAGGTCTTATGAGTGCAGTGAATGTGGGAAATCTTTTACCTCTGTCTCTGGCCTTGGTTATCATCAGAGAGTTCACTCAGGAGAAAGACCTTATGAGTGCAGTGAGTGTGGAAGATCTTTTAACCTTAGCTCTCAACTCCGTTATCATCAGAGAGTTCACACAGGAGAAAGGCCTTATGTGTGCAGTGAATGTGGGAAATCTTTTACCCGTAGCCCTGGCCTCTCTTATCATCTGAGAGTTCACACAGGAGAAAGACCTTATGAATGCAGTGAGTGTCGGAAATCTTTTACTTCTAGTTCCGCCCTCCGTTATCATCAGAGAGTTCACACGGGAGAAAGACCTTACGAGTGCAGTGAATGTAGGAAGTCCTTTATGAGCAGTTCAGCTTACAATCGACACCGAAGAGTTCACACAGGAGAAGGGCCTTAGGTGGACAGGGAATGTGCAGTTTCCTCTTCAGTGGAATGGCAGCAGAGGAGACTGTGTGAGGAGCCGTCTGTCTGAATTGATTCTCATGTGGAGATTTCCTCTAAGTTTCAGGTGTGCGGGAAGCTTGTGTAAATATATTGCCTTTTCTAACCTATCCATGGCTCTTTCTATATCAAAACAAGATTCATGTCACTCCTAGTTTCTGTGGCCAAAGCCATTTCACCTCTACCACCTGGCAGGTCCACACAGTGTGCGTCAGTCACAATGTGCTCAGGGAAGCTGACCTTTGTTCTCCCATGTATTAGAGCAAGTTAGGAGTCACCTGAACCCTTACAGGGTCAGCTTTCCCTCCACCTTGACTACCTTTGACATGGGCCTGAATCACTGTTGGCCCAGAGAATATCATGAGTTGGGCTGCTAGCTTGCAGAGAACGACTCCCTTTTTTAGGACATGTGGTCTCATGTGATAGTTGAGATGAATTTGTCCAGCTTCCAAGCCATGCACTGCCCCACGTTGCTTTGTCTTGTACGATAATAAAGTTTTATAGTTTAAGTCCTCTTTAATCTTAGGTGTTCTATTTACTGTGTGGGGTAGTTTAGAAACAAATTGGGGCTCTACAAGCATGAAGGGGTGAACAACTTTTTAGGGGTCTCAGAATTTGCCTGAGGAGAGACAGTATGATGGCATAAGATAGCCACTTTTGACCGAATTTCTATTGTTGCCCACAGCCTCCTGGGAAAGACTGCAGGGCTTTCTGGTCCTCATTTGAGGCCAGGATGCTGTGTGTTTCAGGAGTGTCAGTGATGACCCTGAGGAGAGAGCTCGAGTGAGAACCTCAAGTGCATCTGAGAGCAGCATGAATTTTTTCCCTTCCTCACAGGGGGTCTCACAGGGGACCTCAGCACTGGAGGGGATATCTTCCCCAGATCTACAAAGAGCCATGTGCCCTGATGTCCACAGTTCACTGGGTGAGGGTCACTGGTTGTAAAACCTATGGGTCTGGGGGAAACCATAATTGGTAGAGAAACACTGGTTTAACAGGGAGTGGAGGAGACTGCAGCCAACTATATAGAATGTGCCTCTTCTAAAAGTGCATCCAGAAATAGTTCTGTGATGGTGACTGCAGGATCAGTTTGTACACAAATCTCAGGACCTCCAGGCATTTGTATCTTATGTAGCCAAAGTCACTGTCAGAGAATATAATAAAAATAATTGACAGGTTTTGTGGATTTCTGTAGCCTGTCAGTGATGTTCACCTCAAGGCCATTCCTGCACAGGCAGGAAAAAAAGAAAAGGGATTTGTAGTTGAGCAATGTGGCTCTTGTGACCTGGGCAGTGTTCCTGTTGACGCAGGTGGCAGTGTCCTTCGTTGCTTCCTGTATTTGCTGCCACTGAAGGAAGACTGACCCACAGAGGACATGAGGAGAGAGTTGGTGGAGTCAATATAGTCTTGCTAGTGCCATCGAGTTGACTGTGACTCCTGGAAACCCTGTGTACAGTAGAGCAGAACCCAGCCTGGTGGTGTTGCCCATCCTCTCACTTTTCAATGATAGACAGGACTTCTCTGCTATTTATAGGGTTTTTGTGGCCAAGTTTTTCGGAAGCCGCTAGCCTGGTCCTTCTTCCCAGTCTTTGTCTGGAAGCTCTGCTGAAACCTGTCCACTGTGGGTGCCCTGCTGGTGTTTGAAACACCAGTGACATAGCTTTCAGTATCACAGCAACATGCAGCCCCCATAGTATGACAACCGACAGATGGGTTGTGGGGTTCCCTGACAGGATATGAACCCAGCCCGGCAGTGAGAGCTCTGAATCTTGACTGTTAGACCACCGCAACGCAGGGTTGTAAACGTTATTTTCCAAAAAGAGTGTGACATACAGACTTTTTTTTTCTCTTGAACCCATTTGTAAGGAATTATGGTATCATTTACATGTACTAAAGTGCATGTATTTAAAGTGTACAATTTGATAAGTTTTGACATAGGTATGAACCTCTGAAACCATCATCATTGTCCTGAGAATGACCTTAACCTATATTAACCTCATGTCCTATCATAATCTCTCCTTGCCCTTCCCACCTCTCCAGCTAACTATTCATTTCATTTCCTTACAATCGATACCTTGACATTTCCTTGAATTTATGATTAGAATCATAAACTGTTTATTCTGTTGTTTTTTTCTGATTTCCTTTATGTTTCATAACTAATTTGAGATTCACCAATGATATGTGAGTAGCTCATCTTTTGCTGAGTAATAAATTTTTTATCCCTGGATATAACACTGTTAGTTTATCCATTCACCTGGTTATGGGCTTTTTCTCTTATTTCCAGATTTTGACTATTGAAAGTAAAGCCTTTAAAACATTTGTGTCAGTTCTTTATATGATTGTTTCTTTTATCTTTTGTCGTAGTGTAGAGTGCAGTGTCTGAGTCACAGGGTAGATGAATGTTAAACTCTTGAAGAAACTACCAGCCTGTGATCTAACATGATTTCTCTTTTGCACTCCCCACCAGCAGTGTGTGCAAGTTCCATTTCCTCCAAATCCCTGCCAGTACTTGATATGGTCATTCTTCGATTTCAGCCTTTTAATGTGTAGTGCTATCTCTGTCGTTTTAATTGTATTGCTGAAAGGATTTGTGATTTTGAACATTTTTCATGTCTTTATTTACCAGTTTATTTTTTGTACAATTTCTGTTCATCCCATTTGCCTATTTTCTTTAATATGAGTCATGGCTATTCCCCTTTTGATTTTCAAGTAAGACACTGAAACAACAAATGGTGGAGTTAATACTCTGGTAAATGGCATGAGCGACATTTTTCTGTATGGATGTCTTGGCATGAGTACAGCCATGTTTGGCCGTTCCATGGACCTACAGCCTACAGCACACAAAGAAATGTAAAGCTGCTTTCTGTGTTGTGGAAACTGGCCCTTCTCCCACAGAGATAGTTGCAATTTGGGCCGGCCCCGTGGCTTGGTGGTTAAGTGCGCGCGCTGCAATGCTGGCGGCCCGGTTCGGATCCCGGGTGCGCATCGAGGCACCACTTCTCCATCCATCCTGAGGCCGAGTCCCACATACAGCAACTAGAAGGATGTGCAGCTATGACATGCAACTATCTGCTGGGGCTTTGGGGGGAAAAAATAAAATAAATAAAATCTTTAAAAAAAAAAAAAAAAAAAATAGTTGCAATTTGTAAGATTACAAGACTCTTTGGGTGTCGTAGCCCAGAACTGACTGGCCATCTGTGCCGGGCTGGGACAATAGCCAGGGGGCTTAATGCACGTACACAACTGATAAACATTTGTGCATGAGAACACAAAATGCTTACTCTGCAGATTACTGATGCTATATAAAGTGCTGTTAACTGAGGCCTTGTGAGAGTCTCACCTGTCGAGGGGACGCCTTGCCCAGGGGTCTGACGATCGGACTCCCGTGTCAATTGAAGGGACTCGCCCCAGCGCAAGGGCGTGGGTGTTGTGAGTAACCGATCTGATGTTTCTCTCGATTGACCTGGTGTTTCTCTTTCCGGTCGATTTGTGTTATTTCCCTTTGGTCGATCTGGTGTTTCCCTTTCCAATCGATCTGATGTTTTTCTCTCTTGTTATTTGACCTATTTGGATGTGTTTGCAGACTATCACCTTTACCCTCCTCTATGTAATAAAGTATACATTCAGTCCATTTGTTTGGAGTGGAAAGTTTCTTTTGTGTCTCCGATTGAATCCACCGAACCTCTCAAAACAATGTAGTCATTGTTTCTAAATACTGGAAGGATATTTCCTCATTGTTTTTCCTCAAACTTTCTGTGTCACACATAATGTCATGGCCAGAAACGTCATAGACAGTTAAGTTTCGTCTGCATTATTACCATAATCTCCATCACTTAAGTCCAGGCATTCAGTAATACAGTAAATCTAGCCCCACTTTGTAGTGTTTGCTAATTTCCACATGGTAAATTCTCCCACCATGAAAGTGAGATGTGCACAGAGAAGGAGCAGAAAAATTCTACCGAGTGCCCTGGTGTTTGGTGTAAAACCAAGCTTAGCGTGTGCGGGAGGCTTTACAAGGCCAGGCAGACAGCTGGGGGGCTGCGGGAAGGTGGGAGGTTGCAGAGGCCTCGCAGGCGGGAGACATTAGAATCCTGATGGGCTGGAGGGGAGGGACCTTCCTGAACATCCTGGGGGGTCTTGGAGACCCCGAGTGATCTGGCCTTAGTGACAAGGCATCAGAGCAGACACCTTCGGTTCCCAGTTGCAGCCTTCGACCCCACCCTGGACCTTGTAAGGGCGTTTCACCCTCTGGATGCTCTCCTTCCCACCCTTTTCCTTGTTCCCTCTGTGCTCACTGCCTGTTGATCTCCAACCCGGGTTCCCCTTCCATGCTGTGGCTGCATCCCATATAAAGTGGAGGAAGGTGGGCACTGACGTTACCTCAGGGCCAACCTTCCTCAGCAAAAAAAAAAAAACCAAAAAAGGAGGATTGGTGTAGGGTGTTAGCTCAGGGCTGATCTTCCTCACAAAAATAACTAAAACAATCAAAATTTTAATGTAAGTGAAATAAAAACATAAAAAAGTCAAACCCCCAGACATACCTTTCTTGATCAAACTAACAAATATCAAATCTATATGATACTATTTTTAAATAATCTCCAAGAGAAAATCCCAGGCCCTCACAGACTTATAGAAACAGAGTTCCAGGAATCATTCAATGAAAGGATGTATTCAAACTTACTCAAAATATTTCAGAGTTTCCTATTCCCCAGCTCATTTTATGGTGCTAGAATAGCGTTGTTGTAAAACTTGTCAATTAAATTCAGGTATGTTTACAGAGTGCAGTACAAGTTGAAAGCATCTCAGGAATTCAAGAATGGTTTTTAATTGAAAAATGCATTAACAACATTCAACATATTAATGGATTGTAAACATCATGTGACTATCTTAATAAATGCATAAAAAGTAAGCTACAGTCTATTCACATTAGAAAGCAACACCACACTATGCATAGAAATATATGCTGTTAAGTAGTTGAAATTTACTGATTAAAACACTATAATAAACCTGAATTTTAGTAATAAAATACCAGAAATTTTGGCTTTCAAATTAGCAACCAGACAAGGTTGTCATTATTAGTGCTTAAATTAAATATCATGCCAGACTTTCTAGCTGGGGTTGTGACACAGACAAAAAAGAATTAAAATAATGAAGATACCATTTACAGACCTATAATTTCTCTCAAGTTGATTATCTACATAGAAATTTTTCAAAAGCTAACATGTCATGAATATCTGGTGTACTTATGACAGTTCATCAAGTTTGCTGTATATGAAATAAGTGTCCAAAAATAAATTACTTCCACGAAGGAGAATCATGACACCAAAAAGGAAATTAAAAATTATTTGCCTTATTACCAAAACAAATACCAATACTTGATAAAATTAACAAAATGTTTGTGTGGTGGAGACTGCAAATTTTCTTCTAACGTTGTTCTCACCTTCCTGGGCCTATGCCTGCCTGCTCATATTCCCATCTTTCCTTCTGGCTTGGTCATGAGATTTCCATTGTGGATGGAATAGGATCAAAGGAAATGTGGCTGTACCCCCATCCCTGGATCTCAGGGTGTCGGCCTGCACTCCTCCATGCTCTCAGCCAAGAGCCATTTGAGAGGCTGCCCAGCACACTGGCTCAGAGTCCAGCCAACCGTCAGCACCAAAATGCCCGTCAAGACAGTGCCCTCTTTTAAAAGTGGGTTCTTGGAACTGGCCCGGTGGTGTAGTGGTTAAGTTCATGCATTCTGCTTTGGTGGCCCAGGGTTCATGGGTTTGGATCCCAGGCACAGAC